CCCCCCAACCGTCCCGTTGGAACGGAGGCTATGAACTTGGCCTTGCTCTTAACCTCAGCCATCCAAGGGTCAGTTTAAGACCCTCCTGTTACGTAAGATACTAAGATCTGACTGATGGATACTTAAGCAGTCTTTGGAACAGTCAAAAATTTACTAGCCCACTAGTGTTCAATCTTTCCTTTATTCTTGGGAGCTAGATAGCAGCCCTCTTCCCCCCAAAACAAAACGAATTCCCTTATGTCTAGCTGAGTGAGTCAGTCAGCATCGGCGAACTTAGAATTAGAACTCCGGTGGGTGCAGGGCAGCTTCTCCCGGAAGGTCGCCTGCCCTTTCCATTCTCACTGTCTTTCCTGCTCACAGATCAGCGGATTCACTTGTTTCTCAAATGCTGTTTGGTCCTTGGTGTGCAGCGCTCACTGTTAGACCTCCCTGGAGGCCTCACGCTCATTGAGGCGGAGCTGGCAGAACTAGGCCAAAAGTTTGTCAACCTAACGCAGCACAATCAGCAGGTGTTTGGCCCCTACTACACGGACATCCTGAAAACCCTCATCCCCCCAAGCCAGGCACTGCAAACAGAAGTAGAGTCCCTCTGATAGCACCAGCTCCGAGCCCTGGCACCTTGGACCCAGGAGAGAATCCATCATTTTCCTGAGGTGACATCACCAGGGACCAGCAAAGCAGCAAGCCTTCCTCCCTCCTGCAGCCAGTCCCTGCACTGCAGTGGTTAAGCATGTAAACACCAACTGGCCCAAACTCACTAATAAATTTCTGAACTGCAAGCAAACACTCCTCCTGTGCTGCAGCCTGGCAGACCCCGTGCCTTGGGCCCCCAGCTAGCTACAAGCCAGCAGGCCCCCATCTTTCCTCCACTGTTAGGTGCACCCTCTGCATGCAGAGCCCCGAAGCCACCCTCTGGGTGCTGGCATTGAAGTGTCTGAGAGTAAAGCCTCTCTGAGGGCCCTGAACACTCTGTGCCCTGATCACATGTGAGCCTAAGGGCCCCTCTGGAAGTTAGAAAATTGTTTTGTCTAGGTCAGCTCTGGATTGGGCATGGTTGAAAGAAGGTCTTAGGAACCTCATCTCCAGGACCTAATTCCCCAAAGGTTTCAAAAGGTGCAGCAAGAAGGGAATAAATAGAGCTCCCTCTTTGGCAGAGTGCAGCCGGGGTAAGGGTGGGTGTTGGCTGCTGCAAGCAGACTGGTGACAGGTTACAGAGCTCATGGGACCTCTTTCAACGTCAGAGTTCAGGCTTGGGCAGAGGCCAGGGACTCACTCGGGTCTAGTTTTCCCTTGGTCCTGTCCTCTAGCTAAGCGAGTCTCCTGTCACCTGGTCCCTAAGCTGAGAACGCTTCCTGACATGCACCGTGGGCCTGTGGGGTGGACCGGCTCCTAGCTTGCACCTCTGGGTCTGGGCTTGGCTGTCTGGGTTGTGAGCTCCTCTTGGCATCACAAGTGAGCGAGGTTCTGAAAGGACTGGGCTTGTAGCCATCCAGCCGTCAGTCTCGGTGCCAGCAGCAGCCCCCGCCGCACCTTGTACGGCTGCAGTGAGGATGCTCCGTTCAGAGCTGGCCCTTTTCGCCTTTTGTAACACACAAGAGGACATGAGAGTTCACATGTGCTCTCAGGGCCGGGCGAACAGAGAAGAGGGTCTCCCTGCTTCAGGAGATGGAGGGAGCTGACTGGAACACTTCCTCCAGGAAGGACCGAGGGGATTGAGCTCTGTTGGCCCAGGGTTTTCTCCAATTGGCACTCTCCTTAGAGAGCAGAGCCCTGAGGAGATGGTGTCACAGCTGGCCCATGGTGTAACTCTGACCAGAAGAGCTGGGAGGCCTGGACCACTCAGCCTCCTCTTGTAGCAAGACACTCTCAGGGCGGGGAAGCCAGAAAAAGGAGTGTTTAATCAGCAGTGAGGCTTGCCTAGAGGCAGCCTCTGATTTGCAACAATTTAAAAATTTAAAAGCCCATATTTGGAAGCCTGTCTTAGAGGCAGAGGTGCTCTGAAGGGGGTCCGTCCTGTGGCGAGGCCAGCCTGGTGGCAGTGCAGACACTGGCTGGCAACAGAGCCCTGCTTTGCTTTGTAATTAAAATCGGATCCATTGCGTTGATGGTCTGAGTTAATTTTCTAGTGCTTCCACACGGAGGAGACAGGGACCCTGCCCTAAACAAGGAAAGAGCTCCATTCAATCCTGCACATGGTTTCAGGGATGCAAACTTAATATTGTGGTAAATGCACATGAAAGTCACCGTGCCCCACCAGGCGTGGCTCAGTGGTTGAGCATCGACCTAGGATCCAGGAGATCGCAGTTCGATTCCCGGTCAGGGCACATGCCTGGGTTGCGGGCTCGATCTCCAGTCGGGGTGTGCAGGAGGCAGCCAATCAATGACTCGCTCATTGCTGATGTTTCTATCTCTCTCGCTCTCCCTTTCTCTCTCTGAAAACAATAAAGATATATTAAAAAAAAAAAAAAAGTTACCGTTAGTGACAAGGTGTAAGACTACCAGCACTATCTAGTTCCAGGACACTCTCCGGGACTCACCGCAACAGGAAGTCCCGGAACCCTGTGCAGTTCCCTCCCGCAGCCCCTTGACCACTAATCTGCTTTCTGGCTCAGTGGGTTTTCTCACTTGGTAAATAGAATCATGTAACATGAGGTCTTTTGTCACTGGCTTCTTTCACTTAGTATGTTTTAAAGGTTTGTCAGGTAGTGTGTATCAGTAGTTCATTCCTTTTTATGGCTAAATGATATTTCATCAGATGGACCTACCACTTTGGTTTATTCCTGCAGCAGTTGATGGACATTTGGTTTGTTTCCACCTTTTGGCTTTTGTGAATAGTGCTGCTGTGACTATTTGTGTACAAGTTTTTGTTTGAACACTTGTTTTCAATGCCTTTGAGTAGGGAATATACTCAGGAGTAGAATTGGTGGGGCATATAGTAATTCTATGTTTAATTTATTGAGAAACCACTTGAACTGTTTTCCACAGTGGCTGCACCGTTTTACATTCCCCCCAGCAACGTATGAGGGTTCTGATGGCTCCACATTTTCACCAACCCTAATTTTCTTTTCTTTCTTTTTTTTTCTTTTTTCAAATTGTGCCCGACCAGCATGGCTTGGTGGTTAAGCAGTGACCTATGAACCAGGAGGTCACGGTTCGATTCCCGGCCGGAGCACATGCACAGGTTGTGGGCTTGATCCCCAGTAGGGGGCGTGCAGGAGGCAGCCGATCAATGCCTCTCATTATTGATGCTTCCATCTCTCCCCTTCTCCCTTCCTCTCTCTGAAATCAATAAAAACATATTAGAACAACGTAGGCATCTTAGTGGTGTGACACGGAATCTCCGTGGTTATGATGTGCGTTTCTCTAACGATTAGAGATGCTGGGCATCTTCTGCATGCTTATTAGACATTCATATGTCTTTGGAGAAATGTCTACTTTAGTCCTTTCCCTGATTGTGAATTGGGTGGTTCTGTCATCGTCGAGTTGTAAGAGCTCTTTATATATTCCGGATACTAGACTTTGTCAGATACGATTGCAGACCTTTCCTCCCATTCTGTGGGTAGCCCGCTTTCTCGATCGCGCCCTCTGCTGCACAAAATGGCACGTCAGGTCTCAGAACTCTTCGTCTAGGCCTAGATCCCGAAGACTGTCTCCTGTGTATTTGCTAAAAGTTTTATATTTTCCATTAAATCTGTGATCCATTGCGAATTAATTTTTTGTTGTTAATCCTTACCCGATGGTATCTTTTCCATTTATTTTTAGAGGGAG